TGTTCAGGGGCATAGCAGGCCTGGGTCGCTGCCAGTTCTGAGAACTAGGAGGAATCCACCTCTGGTCAAAGATTAAAAAATTAGAAGTCTTGTCTAATGACCAAGCCTGAGCTACCTCCTTGGGCCCTAGTTACATGCAGCGGCATTTTACCCATTTTGAGGGAATTTAAGATACAAAATAGCTGTTTTAACCTAACTCCCCAAATCGATCCCTTGCTCCGGAATCAATTTTGGTCTTGAGACATCATTAGCTACATTTTCTGCAGTTGCCATAAGATAAAAAAAAAGTTTGATCCTTAACCATAAGAAAGTTGCCCATCTTTCTATAGGGCATGGCAAAACAGATGTTTAGCATATTTTGGATCCAGGCTCATTGTTAAGAGCTGTCAGGGGATATGAGCTGTGGTGGCGTAGTGGATAGAATGCTATATAGCAAGCTAATTCTGCAGACTGCCAGGAGTTCGATTCTGACCAGCTCAAGGTAGACTCAGTCTTCTATCCTTCCGAGGTCGGTAAATTAACAACCCAGATTGTTGGGGGCAATATGCTGACTCCGTAAAACCACTTAGAGAGGATTGTAAAGCACTATGAAATGGTATACAAGTCTAAGTATATAACTCTGCTATTGCTATTGCTTGTTCCAAGGTGACTTGGGGGTAAGTTTTAGGTATATTGTTTTAAGTATATTTTTCATATTGTGCCTCCCCCTGAAAAAAACTGAAATAGATAATTTTTATTAGCACTGACAATTTATCTAGATGAAACTGGCAGGGTGTAAAGAAATGTTCCTGACTTACACTAACCTCTGTAATAAAAATGAAAGTTTTTAGACTCATACTTCACGTATCCTACAGTTTTCTTAATATAGTCTCATCCAACTTGGTATTTTCTAGGTATGCTGGAATTGGACCATATGGCTGCGGCAGGGGTGAAATATATTTATCTTCGCCACCAATTTGCATGCACAGAGCGTCAAAAATGGACGGGATGACATCTGGGCAGGTGGGCGGAGCCTGATGTGCCTGCAAAGGTAAGTAGAACAGCAGGGGGGAGGGGGGAATCCACTGTGCCACGCAATTTCGATTAGCTAGAAAGCAGGAAATCCTGCTAATATAAATTGTATGGCACAGCGGATCGTTGGAAATACCGTTTCACACAAACTGGTAGCATTTTTTACTACCAGTTTGGGAGAACTGGTAGCTTTTTTTACTACTGGTTTGGGCGAACTGGTCTGAACTGATAGCATTTCACCCCTGGGCTGGGGGTATTATAGGAACTGAAACAGGTTACATCTAATAGATTCTGGAAGGCTGTATTAAGCATTTTAAAATTAGTACCAGACATCTGCTTAACTACAAAATCCACCAAATCATTGATCCCTCCAAAAAGATCAAAAAATGTAAACTGAAAGACCCTGGGAGTCTAGTGTTTGTGTTTTTGAGAAGATAGCGTTATGGCATTGGGAAGTGCATAAGGGTTTGTAACTTGGTGTATTTTATTTTTTGTGTTCCTGATTGTTAGCTGTCTATGGTTATTGTATATGATACTATGGGCATATGGGTAGCAAGACAACATTTTCAAATAAATACATAAATATGCCTTTATTTTTACTGAACATTTTAAAAAACTCTTAAGTTTACTTCAAAGATGTTGAGAGTTAAAGAATAATAATTGAATCATGTTATCTTTGTCTAAACCTTTAATAACAAACAGTTGCTGCTTTTATTACTTGATGGGATCATAATTTAAATTAACAATAACAACAGATTGGTATAATAGTTATAGCATCAGACTAGAAGTGGTGAGGCCTTGAGTTCTAGCCCTTAATTAGGAATAAAACCAACTGGGTAACCTTGGACCAGTGATTCTTTCTCAGCTCTAGGAAGGAGGCAATGGAAAACTACTTCTGAAAATTTTTGTTTAGAAAACTGCAGGGAGAAATCCAGGAAGGGGCCAGGAGTCAAAAACTGTCCAAAAGGACAAAAAAATATGCTGTCATGGGATTTCAGACCCCTGAAAGATATACTCCAAATTGACCCTTCACTTAGATCAGACGTGTCAAAACTGGTGGTCCATGGACCAGATGTGTCACGCGCAGGCCATACCCACCCCAGCTCCGTGAAGAGAAAAAATGGCACGAAACGTCATGTGACCACGAGTTTGATACCCATGACTTAGATCAAGGACTGTCAAGGAAAAGCTTTCCCTCATATGTGCTAGTCGTTCCCAACTCCACGGGATGTACTCATCTGTTTCAAAGCCGAAGAGCCAGTGCTGTTTAAAGAAGTCTCCGTGGTCATGTGGCCGGCATGACTAAATGCCCAAGGTGCATGAAACGCTGTTACCTTCCCACCAAAGGTGGTTCCTATTTTTCTACTTGCATTTTTACATGTTTTCAAACTGCTAGGTTGGCAGGAGCTGGGACAAGTAACGGGAGCTCAGTCCGTTACACAGCACTAGGGATTCTAACCATTGAACTGCCGACAATCTGATCAACAAGCTCAGCACCTTAGCCACTGAGTCCCTTATATGAAAACATTAAACCATGTGAAATTGGTAATGACCACACTATGGATTTACGCACGGAAGAACCTGTTTTTTTTCTGCTTCTTGAAATTTACAACCCAGCAAGTAAATAGGACTTTGTACTAGGAGGCAGTAAAACAGATGCAAAAACTATTATTGGAATAGTGTCATCATTAACCAAAAGTTTAGAGAAAAAAATGCCTATATTTTTCCATTTGTCTAAATAGCATTATCATAAAGAAAGAAAACCAACTATCTGCATATATATTTTGTGTGATTAATTATATGACAATTTTAGATTCTTGATTCTGGATCAATAAATTCATTATAATGCAAAGCTTTGTTTAAAACTTTATGTACTTCTAAGAAATCTTTTGGTGATGCCCCAATGGTTCTTTTTCAAGAGGCAACTGGACTTCCTTGTTTTTTTCTTTGAAGACATTTTACTTCTCATCCAAGAAGCTTCTTCAGCTGTGACTGGATGGTAGATAATGAAAGGATTTATATTAATAAAACCTTCAAAGGAAAAACAAGAAAGTCCAGTTGCCTCTTGAAAAAGCACTTTTGGGACAATCATGACCTGGATCTCTTTAGACTTTTAGCTATCCAATTTGAGATGAACACATATCCCTTCAAATAGTGTGGGAGTATGAACGGATTTCCAGAGGAAAAAAATTGCAGACTATAGGGACCAGGAGCACCACTCAGATCACCTGAGGACACAGATAAATCTCCAAGTACTTCAACGACCCTCTAAAATGATGCAAATGACTAGCTGTCTGCAAGGAGTATAAATCCTTCCATTCTCCACCATCCAGTCAGAGCTGAAGAAGCTTCTTGGATGAGAAGTGAAACGTCTTCAAAGAAAAAACAAAAAAGTTCAGATGCCTCCTGAAAAAGCACCTTTAGGACAGCCATGGATGACTGAGAATCTCTATAGACTTTTGGTGATGCCAAACATTCATCCAAATCCAATAAAAAGTAAAAACATTATACAAATATTGTACCACAGATATCTTGCATTTATTGAATTAGATATGAACCTTTTGAATTATTTTATTGTGGTGGCTCTCAAAAAATATAAAGTTGATTATTTAAGATCCCTACTACAAATCTGTCTAGTGAAAGAAAAAAGAGATTTTAGAGTACTAAATTCCTTTATTTAACAACACAGAAATATCACAAAAACAACTTTACTGGGCAAATTGAATGTTTTTTATACAGTTTTGTACATGCCCCATAAGTGATTTGAAATAAATACACCATTTTCCAAAACTGCTTTTTCATAATTGCACAAGCATACATACACTTTACACAAGATCTATTAGAAAATTTAATAGATTACTGCACAGTTCAGAAATAGGAGAACAGTGTGAATTGTGAACTTTTTTGTGGTCTACGTTTCTTCGCACGAGAAAAAAAAGTAAACCTATTTCTCTGTAACTGTGAATATGGAATACTTTCTCACATTCGAGGTGTGTTTTATGCATCAGGAAACAGCAGACCTCAGTGTGGAACTGCCAAATTTAATCAAAACAATATTTGAAACATTTAGCTGTTACACATAACCAACCATTTCAGTATCACTACGCATCCAGCTATGATCAAAGACCCATTGTTGATTTGGCTGGATGTATTTTACCCTGGATTGAATGTTCATTTAATTATTTTTCTTCTTATTAATTCATTATAGATATAGCCAATTTAAAGATTCCTTTTTACGGTTAATTTTATGAGGTACCTAAAGGGGTGGAGTGGAGGGAACACAAAAAGAAATTTCTTATAGAAATGACTGTAGTTCATTCTTGTAATGTCTATGGATAATGGTACAGGTTTACCTGGGCTATGATACAATTTGGCATAACTGATACTCAGGTATATCCTGTTGACTATATCCTGAGCATATCAATATTGTTAGGCAGACACAGAACTGCTGCACAAATTATGTTAAGCTTCCCTTCTCACTTCAGTAGAGTAACAATCTTGGCAATTCCATCACTGGTTCCTGCAAAGTTGTCCCCTTTTCAAAAGTAAAGGAGTACTCTGGCAAAAATATGAAATTTATTACTTAAAATATTTTACCCTGCTTTTCTACCACAAGGTACTGCATTTCATATCATATATTTTTAAAATTATTTACAGCATATCCTATTGAGGTCTACTTAGACGTTCCATTGATTTCAATACATTTTACCATCAAGTAATTGCATTCAGGATTGCAGCCTTAAGGACATTGTGTGGTAAACAGAAATAAGATTGAAAACTTTAACTATAATCAACATTGCAAATAATTTGTTAGTAAACAGAGAAGAGGAAAAAAAAATCTGAAATCTTATTTCTTTTTTCAAAATGTTTGCAACCAAAATGTTTTAATGCACAATGACATACAAATGCTGCTTCAATGAAATTTTAAAAAAATATTAATAAAGCTGCAGAATTCTACTACCTAATTAAATGAAATTTGTGGGAATTGAAATAATTGTATTTATATTTTATGCAATTGATATTTTTAACAATTCAGATTTGACATGTAAAAAAAATCACAATTACAATATACAAATTCATCAGCTTTCTAAAAATCAAAATGAAAAAAAAATCCCCAAAAAACCCCATACTGACACATGCAACATCTGGATATTAAACAGTTAAGTACATTGCTATGAATCATTGTACACCAACAGGAACCTAAACTGATATTTTGTCCCTCTCCTCCTTAACAGTAGAAACAAAAATTATTCAAAACAAGGCCAGCTGAACACTGAGGTGGGAAATGATGTTGCCACCATTCACGATATTGATACTTAGTTTTGTTTTTTAAATTTATTTTGAAAGGGGGGGGGAGAGAATGGCCCTCATATAACTCAATTGCTCAATAATTAGCACAGAAAAACCTGAAATGACAAAAAGGAAGAACAACCATCATGTTGATTCCGCTTCAGACTACTTGAAGTCACGAGGTTGCATAATGAAGGTATTATCCTAACATTTTGGAATGGAAAAAAAAACTCATCTAGGATGATTTAAAATGAAGAAAGGGTACTATTTTACCCAAATGGACATCCCTATGAGTATTTTGGAAAGCCTACCTATTGCACAGGATATTCTGTATCATGTCAACTACAAATGGAGGGGGAAGCAGATGCTAAATGTAGTCCAACATCCTCTATTTGGCGAAGAGTAAAAGCTGCTGGAGCACAACTCGTGGTTTGTGAGGTGCAGCCAATCTTTAGGCTGTATCCTAAAGCTTCCTGAAGAATAGTGGCCAGAACTTTTTAAAGAAAATAACATCAGGAATAAAATAGTCATATAATCAATTGCCTCACAGTAAAAATGAATTATTTTCTGCAGTTATACGGCTAGAACTATCTATCATCTAAAAGTTTTTTTAAAAAATATCGTCCCTTCTAATATCACTCAAACTTGGTTCAATTTTTATTCTGCTAATAATTCCTGCCAGTTCTTAGTCATTCTCCCAATCCTTCACAAATCAGTGTGCACATATGTATTTGCATGTGTTTGCATGTCAAAATAAAAAAAATAAAGAAAAGGTAAAAACCCCTTTGAAAGTTAAGATATCTTCAGATCATTCTCTCGATCAATTTCCTTGCGTTATAAATAACCCTTTCTTTTATATAGTAACAGATCTTCACAGAAACACCGTATTCATTCATTCAAACAATAGAAAACCCAAATAAGTTTTTCCAAAAAAGCTAAAAAGTACCATAAGAAAAAGAATATGAAACAGCGTGGTCTTTGCCTTGAAAAAATAACACGATGTAACTCATAAAAATCTGTGCACTTGAAGAGCATCTTTTGAATATCTAAATTCTGCAGTTTCAATGAGATTTCCATAGGTGTCACTTTCTCAGAATTATACCTCATGGGTTTGCTGTATTGGGGGGGGGGGGAATCAGATATTCTCTTACTGTTAGATCACAAATATTTCTATCTTAAGTTAAACAATAGTAAAAATGATAAAAAATGTATTAGTTGAAAACAAGTCAGAGAGAGGGAAATGATTCATAGTAATGGCCTTTTCTGCTTCTTTTAAATTGTAATACTCTGCTACTGGCCAAAGTACCTTCAAGCTTCCGTCTTTGGTCTGTGACAAAACAAAATGAAATATAACAAACTGCTGAAAGAAAAATGCTATGTAGATGTTTCATCTTATTACTATCTTTGTGTACATTAGAATTATGCATTGAAAATTTCATATTCTATGACAAGATGTTCCACAAGTGGAATAAATTATGCAAAGTCCTAAGCTTTGCATACATTTCAACTGTGTATTTTTCTAATGGGAAACATTGGAATATAGTTTCGGTTTTAAAGATAAAGACTCAATAAGGAACTGCACATAGAGAGAACGGATGTCCAGTAAGATCCTATTTCTGTACTTGCAATTATGGGATTAAAAAAGAAATCTTCACCAACATATTATGTGTTGCAAGTCAGAAAAATCTACAATTGTTAAATATGGCAGGGCAATTATGAACAAATGAAAAGTATGTTGGGGAAAGGTAATGATAGTAATAAAGAACATAAAAAATGTAAATGTGTATTCTCAACAATTTCTATGTTTTAAGACTCTGGTAAACTGCCAGTCTTTTCAATTCAATCTTTCTGGCAATCACAAAAGACAGATTTTTTAAAAAGAAAAAATTATAAAAAGAAATTATTTGCTGGCAAATTGAAGCCATGCAATTCCCTTAACACTGCACTCTTCCTATCACATTTTTTTCTGCCAATCCACTACTTTTCAAGTCTAAATTTTGATGAGATGGCTATAGCCATGAATAAATCTGCATAGATATTTTTTTAACTGTCCCACATACATGTGTTATTTCTGAATAGGGTAATAATAAATTAAATGTCTGATTAGGATGAAGAGAAAAAGATCACAATCTATTTTCAACTTTCAATTCTATTAAAAGTGCTAACATTTGAAAAACAACTTAAAAGACATTCTGAGTTTCATGTCTTTCAGACAGAAGAAAAGAAGTAACCTCACCTACATTTACAAACTAGTCTAAGAGCTAATTATTATAAACTGAGAAAAATAATTTCAGGTATCTTTTTCCCCTAATAAAAGATCTATAAAGCAACCTCTACAACAGAGATGGGGAACAATAGCTCCTTTATAACTTGTGGACTTCAACAGCATGGCTGGCTCAGGAATTCTGGGAGTTGAAGTCCACAAGTCATAAAACGGCACCATTCCCCACCCCTACCTCTGGAGGTAAGTAAATACATTGAGAGATTTCCTGTTCCTCTCAACATATGAAATTGTTTTCATTTTGGATAGCAAACTATTCTGTGGTAGCTCTGCAACATTGAAACTGTATGTCTGCCTATACTTTAAATCAGAGGTGGGCAACTATGGCCCCTTTTTGACCTGTAAACTGCAACTCCCAGAATTCCTGAGCCCAGGAGTTGAAGTTCATAGGTTATTTAGGGGTCACAGTTGCCCATCCCTGCTTTAAAACTTATTTTATAGGAAGTGCAGTTTACTGATTTTTATTAAACTTTTCTGAATCAATGGGCGAGCATAATTGTTCCTATAAAATAATGCTTATGAAGATTAACTGTTACTGCCTGTATCTTCCCTCTCATACAATAGGATGTCCTGGGAATATCTGAAAGACACATTATTAAATCTTTTGAACAACTTTGTTCCAGGTAGTAATAGCAGAGTGTATGGTAAGAATACAGCTGTACTGTTGCTGATGATGGTACTGGACAGCTGGCAACAAAAAAAAAGTGGGGGAGTAAAAGAGGAAGATTCTTAATGCTTAAATTTATTGCTCCAGATTTAATTTGCAGAAGCACACTGATGTGAACAAAGGGTTAATCTCCATAGTTGGTCAGATGTGATTGTCTCCTCGTGTCTAAACACACAAAATACAAGCGGCTATCTGTACAGTTTACAGTACCAAAACACATATCATTGGAAAAATGAAGTAGAGATATGGTACTTTGTCAAGATACATTATTTTATAGCAGGGGTTTACCCAAACGTATAATTTTGTTTTTAACAGCCACTTTAAAAATAGACAACAAGTTCACTAGTTATAGCTAAATTACATCAACAAAAGAATTGGTGTACTGAATGTGAGCAAACTGGCCAATTGTCAGGATCCCAGATATGGTGGTCTCCGGATAAGACAGTAGCTCTCAAAAGCTGGTTAATTGCTCTCTTATATGGAATGTTGTCTAAGAGGGCCTTTCAAGAGGAAACTGAATGTCATTAAAGACTTGAGGAACTAATGCCCAGAATGCAGCTGCTAAGAAATGGCAGAAGTTTTGTCTAAACAAGATGAAACACAACAGGACATGCTGTCAGACGGTGAATATGATGGGACAGAAAATAAAACAGTACTATCTTATGTTCAGGCATTTCAATGGGGGGGGGGAGGTTCTGCTTCATCAGATACAGCCTCTTCAAATGTACTGTCTTCCCTCTTACCTGGAGACCACTCTATGTTATGATTTTTTTTTCTTTGAGGAAACCCCTATACATAAATGAAAATAATATTCTTCAGTGGTAGACTAAGCGATTTCTTAAAACAAGACTTTAGCTTGCCTTTCACTTCAGGCTGCCTTGAAAATAAGATATGCTACTGCTTAAAAGAACCATCGGAATGCTTCAGCGCTGGGAACAGGTGTTCTCTACAAAAAAGAAGCAAGAAAACAAGTTAAGCTTTCTTTCCATTGCATTGCAAAATGTGCTCTTCTGTTTCTATTAATTGCTTTGTTTTTTGGCTTTCTTTCACGTCAATTGTGCTTTTAATTGTCCCAGTTGTATGTAGTATTTCTTGATGATTAATGAATTAAAGAAACAGTCATTTTAGCAATATATGACTTTTTTGAATTTTAAAACATCAATGGGTAAACTATTGGCAATTATAGCATGTGGTAAATATGCATGGAAGAGATCTTTATATTTTACCTGCTGTTAGTCTAAAGTTTATCAAGTGGAATCAGCCAATGATATCATGGCCTAAGTGATGCACCAATTATTTATATCAATCCATGAGTGATAGGCTAAGTTGACCTGAATATTCAGGCACAAATCTACAATAGAATGAGGTAAACACTTTGAACACAAAAAGAAAATGGCACAAATATCTTGCCAACAATAAACAACAATATTTTACAGTTGAATAACATAAAAGTTATGACATATAAACAATCAACATAAGACCACTCTTGAAAGAAATGTTTTCCCCAAATTTGCAGTATTATTATTATTGTTGTTATTGTTATTATTATTCTGAAAATTTTTGGCAATCCATAGAAAATCATCCAAATCTCTAATCCATTTTCCTTCTTGTTTGTAGAACACTTTTGCAAGAAAAATGAGAAAAAGCTCAAGGCGTGATTTTCTGTCTGAAAAGTTCATATCTGAGGTACACAGAACTTACTTTCCCCCATTAATCTATAGCTTCTCCATTGGGGAAGGTACATTGTTATTATAATTCCCAGTCAGTTGAAGTCCATTTTGCTAGCATTTGGGGAATATATTATAGCCCCAAGACATTTTGAAGGTGCCAGGTAGAAGGCGGCTGGTTTATAGCAAAAAATCATTCTAACTTATTTGATAGATTTTTATTTTTCCTAACTTTATTCCAATCCTTCCCCAGAGCCTCCCACCAAATTTTGACCAATACCAGTTTGCCTAGAGGGGGAATAGGTCAACAGACGGACGCCATAGCTACTGCTTTATATTCCATAGTGAGTCATCTAGGGAAACCTGAAAAATAAGTCAGAATGCTTTCCATAGACTACAGCTTGGCCTTTAACACCATTCTGCCGAGCATCCTTATCGAAAAGTTGACTGACTTGAATTTTCCCTCTTCCAGCTATGACTGGATTAAAGACTTTGTAATGGACTAGCCACAAACTGTGAGGGCTGGGTCTTTCATATCCTCCTCCCTGAAGCTCAGCACTGTCTCTCCTCAGGGCTGTGTGCTCAGCACATACCTGTACTAATTGATACACATATGATTGTGTATCTTCTGACCCATCCACTGTGATTATCAAGTCTGCGGATGATACCACTGTATTGGGCCTCATTACAGGTGGAGACAAAGCAGCATACAGGGGGGAGGTTCAAAAATTATCCATAGAGTGTGCAGAAACAACCTGCACCTGAACATCAGCAAGACAAAGGAGATGGTGCTGGATTTCCGGAAGAAGAGAGAGGAACCTGCCCCACTTTACATTGAGGGGGGCTGTGTGGAGAGAGTCCCCTCCTTCAAATTCCTGGGAGTCCATCTTAGAGAAGATCTCATCTGCAAAAACAACACAACCCAAGCGGCCAGGAAGGCCCAACAGACACTCCCTTAGGGTCTTGGGGAAGAACAAGATGGAACAACTGATGACCTCCTTTTACTGGTTCACAATATAAAGCGTTCTCACATGATATGTTGGCTTCACAACCGCAGATAGAAAGACATTACAGAGGGTGATGAGCACAGCTCGAAACATCATGGGCTGTCCCCGGACGTCACTAGATGAAATCGCTAGGACTCGCTGCCTCAGGAAAGTGAGGAAAATCCTCAGGGACGACTCACACCATGGTCAGCACTTCTTTATTCTCCTACCATCAGGTAGGAGATATAGTAGCATAGCCAGTCATACAAACAGGCTGAAGAACAATTTTTATCAGTGGGCTGTCAGACTCCTGAATGCAACCTAATATCATATGTATGTAGTAAGACAGACTTGCAGGGCTGGCGCAACATGTTCATATTGGTGCAATATATTATAATTTAATGTTAAGCACATATATGTATATTGTTGTGCTGTTAGTATGATTTATTTGGTTAGGGATTTTCTTTCTTTCACTGTGATATGTATTTATGTTGAGTAGGGGTGCACTAAGGGAGGCTCAGCCAATCTCATTGTACACATGGTATGCACGGACAATAAATAAAGATTGAATTGAACTGAAGTAACCCAGCAATGTAAGTTGAACTGATAAACAGCATCTAGATTCAAGTCCCAGAGAGATTCCATGACTGAGGGTGTTCCTGGATCTGCCTACTCCTAATCCAACACCTTAGCCGCTATATCACTCTGACTCTCTCTTTGTTTATTTGGACTAAACTGTGATTTGGCTGCTTGAACTTCTACCAAATCCCAAAGTGGTGGGGGCTTTGGGGCAGTTTTTAAGATTCCATTAAATCCAGTTTGTGGAAAACTGATAGGACTATCCTTAGCATGGAGTAATTTTGTACGTCATTGTAGGTGTCTTCTGAGGTGAATGATGGGGTGTGATTTGGCTTTCCTTTTGTCCTTTATCTTCTCTATCTCTGGAGGAGGGGCATCTCTCTCTTCTTGACAGATCTCTCTGCTGGCAGCATTTGAAATCAGCTAGCAAAATGTGGTTTCAGTTGCCAGAAAGAGTTTAGCTCAGAAGCAACTTTTGCCTCATCCTAAACTCCGAATGACATCCCTTTTAGTTAGCTGTGTGCTCAAAGATAAACCCTTTGTAAATTGCCTTCCTTTTCTCCTACTGGTTGCCAAGTATTAAGAGGCCCTCACTTGCTATCTGTGTACAGCTTTGTTTCCTCCTGATTGGCTTAACTGCCAATATTGTTTTGTACTACAGGATAACTGCTATGTGTAGAGATAACTGCTGTGTGTAGAGAGGAAAGCAAAGCTGGCTGAGGAATTCTGGGAGTTGAAGTCCACAAGTCTTAAAGTTGCCCAGGGGACCCCTGTAATAGAGCAATCAACAACACCAAAATGGCAGGTGTGTCTGGGTGATGGAAGCCCTGCCCATTTTTAACATGGACTGAACAAAGGGCCTGATATAAATGGGGCAGAACTTTGATCTCCTACATTCTGCTCCTAAGCCATTTTTTTTTAATTTACGCTGCGAGAGTATAAGGATAGTAAACAGAACACACACTTTATGTGCAAAAAAAAAATATGCTCTCTTTTATGACTGCAGACCAACTTACCCCAGTATTTTTCAGATATGTTTGAATACAGCCTCCTCAGTTCCTTCTTAAGAAGGAGGAGGGCAAATAGGGTATTTGTACTGAATTAAGTGGGACAAGGTATTAGATGGGCATTTTCTCTGGAATGGAACTACAGTGGAACCTCTGATCATGAACGCTTCTGACCACGACCAAATCGGGTTCCGACCAAAAAATTCACTTTCCCCCCCCCACAGCTGATTTCCCCTTCCACACCATATTTTTTCTAAGCCCCAAATTTCCAAAATTAGGTATGGGTCACGACCAAATCATTTTGTGATAAGTTATGGAACAAATTATGGTCGTGACCAGAGGTTCTACTGTATAACACGGTACTAGGAAGATTATTACCATCACAATTAAAGACCACCAAAAAAGCTAGACATTGTGTTGGGAATTCTGCATCCAGAAGAGTGGGTAAATATTTGTTCTATCTGAGTCATAGACCAAATAGTGGATATAAGTCTGAGGCTGATCTTTCCAATAATGCAATTTCAATAATGTTGCCAATTTAGATAGGGAATCTGAAGGCTTCTAAATGTTAGCAAAATACCTTTCCTGTTTGATCAAGTCAACATAGTCAGCAATATTTAGAAGATCAAAGGCTTCTTGTTCTATATAAATTCTCATTGGAGAGCTTTGAACCTCTTAACTAGACCTTTTCTATGGTGGGAAGAAAAAATTCAATTTTAGCCTCTTGTGTCTCATAATTGCAACTCTAAGTCCCCTTACCTAGAAAACACCTTGGAGAAGTACCGATCACAACTTTTTGGTGATGAATATGCAGTAATTTGCCACAGAATACTTAAACAAGCAGAGTAACAATCATATAATACTACTTCCAAAATCTTTAATGATGTTTATATCAACTTACAAATGAAAACAATTAGAATGCAAAATAATTCCTATTGACTTAAAAAGAGTTTATCTCAGAATAAATTCATGTTAAGATTGCACTATTAGTTAAACTGCTTGTTGAAGATGATAGCCCACAAAAAGTATTTTAATAAGTGGCTTGCCAGTATCTAAGCATGTGTAATATAAACTTTTAATAGACGTTTCAAAAGCAACATCCCTTTTTGGATATGTAGTGCTTCATTGATTTACCAGAGAACCAACATCAGAGGATGTTGTCTTAATAAAGCTAATTCCCACATCCGTCTCAACTTCATAAGTCATATTTTATATATTTTCCTCTTTAAAATCAACTGAACCTAAATGTATTTAAAAAAGAACAATTTTCCCCAATGACAAATCAAGATTAAGGTAAAGGTTCCCCTCACACATATGTGCTAGTCATTCCCAACTCTAGGGGGCGGTGTTCATCTCTGTTTCAAAGCCAAAGAGCCAATGCTGCCCGAAGACGTCCCCTGGTCATGTGGTCGGCATGACTAAACCTCGAAGGCGCACGGAATGCTGTTACCTTCCCATTAAAGGTGGTTCCTATTTTTCTACTTGCATTTTTACGTGGTTTTGAACTGCTAGGTTGACAGAAACTGGGACAAGTAACGGGAGCTCACTCCATTAGGTGGCGCTAGTGATTCGAACCACCAAACTGCTGACCTTTCTGATTGACAAGCTCAGCGTCTTAGCCACTGAGCCACCACATCCCTTAAATCAAGATTAGATGGCAGGAAATCACGAAAGAACATGAAAAGGGAATGGAAAAGTGCTTGAGCC